CATTCCCATGTGTTGCGGCATTCACATGGAGGATCGCAGATATCGGGGGGTGGAGACTGTGCGCCGCATGTCGCACTTACGAACTTCTTCTTGATCAGCGGTAACCAATCATTCAGATGCTGGAAGCAGTCTGGAAGCCAGGGCCGTTCGACTCCGTTCGACCGTTCAGTTCATAGCCACCAGCGACACCGGTGAAACGTACCGCGTCCAAAGGCTCGTTCATCCAAAAACATTCAGGAGCAACGCCCGCGCTCTGTTGAACAAAATCACCTTGGTGATAAGGATGTAATTCTCCAGGACACGCCAGATGACGAAATGAAGCTGTATTTTTGCTCCATACATCCACGCGCGGTCCGTCGACGACCGGGAACAACCCGCCGCGGCCTAGGTCCCATGGTCAACAGAGGTGGCGACGCGTTATCGCGTGCAAGAGAGTCACGCTGCGGTTCTTCATTCGGGGCGAAAGAAGGTTATCGTTGGTCGAGAACTAACGAAGGCGATGTGTCGGACCCGCGGATGGTCGTCAGACGAACTGCAGACCAATGATCCGAATCATGTTCATCTGATGTCGGGACGCCTAAAATAAATGGGGAAAATTCAAACTTGTTCGGCGCACTTGCTAGCTGACAGCTTTAGGCTCACCGAGCCTGGCTTTGAGGTGGAAGCAGCGCCATGTTCGTAATAGCCTTGAGGAATATACGATGAGTTATGAGTATTATTGTTATCAGAAGCTTCGAGTCGTTTGATTGGCGGGGCACTGGCACTCGGAAGGTTGAATCTATTTTTCTACAAGCCTCAGAGTCACCACAACCTCGTCGGCGCATGCGTACCAGCTGAGGCAAACGTTTGTGCTCGCCTGTTTTATATTCTGCCCTGTACCAACTTCCTTGTTACCTCCTTGTTATATACCCTAAGGTCTATGAGTACCTACTCCACCCCGTTGTTCCGTGTTCCCAACAATTAAGAGATGCGAGGCACACGTAGAAACCTCGCGGACTTGTTCAATAAAACGAGCCCACCCATTCGTTGATCCGCGAAGCCCGATCACGAAGTTGCTCGTCAAAATCTCTTCTCGTTCTCGCCGGAACCGAGCCTGTGCTGGCTAAGGCACCAATTGATGCCACACTGACGACACATTGAGATCCGCTGTAGTCAGACCTTGAGACTTAAACAACTTGTCTTTGTATGCGGAGTTGAATTTGTGGGAGCAGTGGATGATGGGTGAACTTGATATTCCAGAGTCACCGAGATTCCTCGTTCGCTTAAGCCAACGCAGTCACCGACACCGCCGAATATCGCCCGCGCTAATCCCTTCTCGATACTCGTCCCCCACGCTGGCACTCAACGGATAAGCCCGAGAGTGTGTTCGTTTCCCACAGATCCGGAACCGAGGCATTGTTGTCCTCACCTGATGCCATACTGGCGATATAACGTCCACGCGGCACATATTCTCGGTGGACGCTGTTCACATTAGGGTATCTATCCCACAAAGCCTGACATCGTAATCAAACGGGCGCACGGCGAATGTTGCCATGATCGTTCCGTGTGAGCAACTCGGGCCGGTATCATATGGTTAGGAAAGATAAGTGAATATTGACCCAGAAGGCAACCGGAAGGTTTGTTCAACCTTCTGGAGTCAGAGATTCTCGTTACACACCGCGGAGCTTGGACAAGAGATGTCTGTTTCTGAGTTTCGCAATAGACTTTGAATCTCGCCCAGCTCTAGTATTTCAGCCGCTGAAGCACTCCGACAACCTCGAGCCAAGCAGGTGGATGAGACTGGCAGACGCAGGCGCAGCCTGAGTATCGAGAGGCATAGGGGGACTGACAGACATGAGAACAGAACACCATGGTTACCTATCGTTTTTTCTTCTTCGTCCTATTCAGCCGGTTCAGAATCCTTGGACCTTCTTGCACCAGTGGATACGGAGAGTCTTGAGCATTGGCGGTCAAAAAAATTATATTCGGCACTGTTTCAGTCAATTTCTTCCTTTCCGGTGCTTTCTAAGTCGGTCATTGGTCGGTCAAGTATTATTCAACTTTATGGTTGAGGACTTTCTCGAGGCCATTCCGCTCCCTCTCACACTCACCCCTAGCCCCATCATCCACTGATACCCTCGTAGATGAGTATGACGCAGATGGAAGCACGCGGGACCCTAGCCGAGAAGAAAAAAAACAACTGCGCCGCTAGGCGTAGTTGTTTTTTTTCTTCGGAGGCTAGGGGTTCGTCGGTAGTATCTTCGAGCGCAGCGAGTTTGACCGAGCGTCCCAGAGGGACGCGCCGCCACCGCCCCCGACGAGCTTGCGAGTCGGGGGCGGGGCGTCGGTCACGGCACACTGAACCCGGCCAAGTATGTTCCCGCGGAGCGGGCCTGTCCGAGCGATCAGCGAGGTGGTCGAGCGGAGCGAGTTTGGGGTTCTACCAAGTATTTTCGAGCGCAGCGAGGGTCGGGGGTATCGGGAGCATCGGGGGGGATCGGGTGCCTCGGGTGGTACCAAGTTTTTTCGAGCGCAGCGAGTCGGGTGCTCGGGCTTCGGGTGTCATTGAAGCCCATTGCCAGCGCGCACGTTTCCACACCCCCCGCTTGCTGTCACGCCGTCACCCCCGCTCGGCTTCCGCCGCCGTCTCACCACCGCACCTCCGCCAACTACCCCGCGTATTCCGCCCACCGTCTGCCCGCTGCCAGCTCAAAAAAACATTCAACTCCGGCTATCGGCCCGTAGCCGACGTCAACTCTCTTTCTTCGTCGCGTACATTCAATACTTTTCAGCCCCGCCGGCGTTACTCACCATGACCAGCCCCTTTCCCACTCTCAACGTCGCTGTCAACGCCGCGCTCGTCGTCCTCAACGTCGCACACACCGCCATCAGCGCCGTCCCGGATTCGGATCATTCCGCTTCGTGCATCAGTAAAAGTACACATGTGTCTTTGAGGTCTTTGGTCTTTGGAACTGGTCTTTCACGGTCTTTGTCTTTGGGAATGTGTCTTAGGTCTTTGGCAGCATGTCTTGGGGAGTCTTTGACTTGGGTGCCGGATCTTAGGTCTTTCGCTGCGGTCTTTCGGAACGGTTTTTTATACCTCCGCAATGTTATGTTTTTTTCGGCTCGCTGGACGGCTGCATGGTAGTATTAATATCTGTATTATCCAATCACAATGAATTGGAGTCATTACGCAAAGCAAGTAAACGGTGTTGGGGAGGGCGGAGTGGGAGAAACTAAGTAGCGCAAGTCGTTTAAACTCCGCTAACGCCGAGATCATTCGGTTGTCAAACGCATGGCGTGATTGATGGCATTGCTCTTGGGTTGCTCTCAACGGCCATCTTCTTTGTTCTCGTCCCTCTCGCCCGCTTCCGCCGCCATCCCCCTCGCGCTAGTCTCCCCTGCCGGTGCCTCAAGTTGTTCCCAGCCTTCGAGAACGTGACGACTCTACACTGGCTGATGACGTGCTCAAGACCTGGTACACGACATCGACCTTCTCGGTCTCTTCAAAGTCGTCAAGACTCTGGCCTCACTTCAAGCAGCTTCAAACCACCTGCTTACTCTGTCCAGCCTGATCATCAAGCCAAGCTCATCAAGTAGAATCCTACCAAGCGGCAACATTCAAGTACGACCGGCGGCAACGGGCATTGCGCGGAGGACTGTTTCGAATCATCTGGCTCTCGTCCCTTTCCCTGGCGGTCGAGAGAGTGCTTTTCAAGCTCTCTCACTTGTCTTGTTTTGCGTCAACTCGCGATCCAAGGAAGTTTTGACAAACCTCAGCATTATTACACTCATTCTACGCGTCTTTGACGGACGCGTCTCGTCCCGCAAATCTTCCCACCGCAAAACGCGTCCCAGAAGAGCATAGGAGCAAACTCCTCGCCCACATTGACGCCCTGTCAAAGTACGTATCAGTTCCCAAACCGGTATCCGCCCCAATATAAAAACCCCAAAGAACCGCAATCGCTCCTTCTTCCTTACCACCATGGCTGACTTTGTCGTCCCTGGCTCCCCCGCTGCTCGTGCACTCCTGGCTGTCAAAAAGAAGAGGGCTACGCGAAAGAAAAAGCCTCCCGATGTCCCACCACCAGCTGATGCCCCCGTCACCGGCACCGTCGACGAAGCCACTGGCTTCGTGAATCTCCCCGTCGCTCCTCGCTCCGGCAAAGGCTCCCGTCGCCGCGATTTCACTGCCCAGATCAAGCAACACTTTGCGACCGCCGACGCCATGGTCGCCGCCACCGAAGCCTTCGATAAACTCCACTTGAAGCCGATCGCCATTTCAACGCAGGCCAACCACGACTCGGCGCAGCGTCTGTGGACCGAATGGTTCACGCTGCTCTATAAATCGCCCGCACTGGCCGCGGCAACACTCGTCGCCGACGCACCATCGGAGCACGAAGCCTTGCGGGGCATCAATGTCCAGATGGTCGTCGACTAGTACTCCGGGCTCTCCCTCCCGTCTCTCGCTCAGATCCGCCGCCGCGAGTTTCCCGAGTGCGGTGTATAGTTCACGGGGCAGCTCTTCGCACAGCTGCAGACCGCGATCAAGTCGCATTTGGTCGGCGACGATATCGACGAGTGTGTCACAATGCTGATGGAGGCGTACCCCGGCATCATCACCGCGGACCTCGGGCTCAAGATGCGCCGCGAAGCCTGCGCCCCGCAGGAATTCCTTGACTGCAGCCTTCGCGAGCTTGAGTCGGTGTATGGGATGGCGGTAGACGCGGCGGTGTGGAAGTCGATAGAGGGGTCGATTGAGGGTTGGCTGGCAGAGCGGGGGGCGCAGGCGGATAGCATGGACATTGTAGAGAGTTCCTAGATTGGTTACAAGTAGATTTGGGCGATTAAATAGTACTTGTAGCGCACGAGCATGTAGAAGTTTTTTGCGTCGGAAGCTTACCAGACTACACTGCCACACTACAGCCACTACGCGGATCATCGGGCGCTTGCCTTGCAGGCCCTTGCTTCTTCCTTCGACTTTGCCTGCACACACTCCTCCCCATGCATGGTCGTACCCCAGCAGCATGGCGCAGTCTGGAAGCGCGCGGGGCCCATATTGTCATGCAATACGCCACCCCGAGGTCACTCGATCGAAACGAGTTGCTGCTATCATTCTTTTTGCTCGACACACCGCCATTTTGGGGTTCTCCCTTTCAAATGCTCGACACACCGCCATTTTGGGGTTCTCCCTTTCATGTGTTTACCATTCACGAACTTTCGCCACTCGCTTCGGCGCAGGCGGAAAATAGTATATACTACTATACTCGATTGTGGTTGGTCGTGCGCACTCTGCGGAATGACATTGACCTTTGGTATGAGTACCGGAGGGAAATTCCATCCGGATCGAAAACGGTTTTTCACCCAGCGACTTCACTGCTGATCAGAAATTCCTGGGCGTATCTGAGGACAATTTGAAAACATGCCAGGATGAAACAGTCATAAGAAGTTCATTCAGCGAGTTCAAAATTCCCTGCATTTCTGGTTTTCAAGTCAGATTCGGCATGAATCAACAGAGCATTTTGGATATAAGTAGTAGTAAGGAAAGTCTTCATAAACTTGGAGGGTCTCTCTGGTCAGATGCGTTCAATCCTAATATACGTCTTTGTCACACCTGTAGAAACTGGAAATGCTGGATCACGTGCTGCCGACGCGTCCAATGACATGCACAAGCATGCGCACACATGATTCGAAACACGAGAAGACTCCAATGGAGCTATGCGAGAAACCGCCTTGCTAATAATGCGGGGTGAATTCTGAGGTTAGTGCTGCACCACCCCAAGCGGTTCGGAAACTTCGGATAGATCCTCACGACTGTTCCGTTGAGCGGAGGGAGGCGCCGAGAGAGGTAGTAGGCAAGCATGCATCTGCGACGAAAAGCCAATAGCGGTGAAGTGCGTCCGGCGGGCCATTCATCTGTTCTTCGCGTCAAGTTTGACTGTATCCCCGGGACTGTTTATTGTTCAACGCCGTCACCTGTCGGATCCGGCTCTTCAGACGCAATGAGAAGGCAACCGACTCTCGAGAGGCGATGAAGGAGTAGCCATATGGAAGGTTGAAATAATCCTACCGTCACTTATTTATCAGGAACGGACTTTCCAGGACGGAGGGCGGGGCTCCTAATTTAAACAAGAATGTGCGTAGATTTCGGGCAGCGCCAGCAGGCTGTGGGCGGGACTATTTTTTGACTTACAACCGGGTAGTGCGGCAACACAGCCGGAGAGCCGCCGCTCCCAATGCCCTTATGACAATTTCCGTCATCTTTTTTGGGCAAGTGTAAATCCATTCCGTGTTTCAGGGCGGTGATTTAGTGAGCATAGCTGTGTAAAGATTCCACTTATAAGGTTCCCGAACAAAGACCACCGAGAACACAATGCGGTCCTTTTTCAAATTCGTCCTCCTCAGCTCGCTTCTCGTTGGTTCCGATGCACTTTTTCAACCGATCGTGCTAGACAATGTCCTAAATCTCCGAGTCTGTTCTACCTCATTCAAGCTCAGTTTGAGTTGCTAATTGGATTTGCTAGTACACGACCAATATAACTGTCAACGATCGACGTTCGTCCCCGGTCTTTGCATCCCGGCGGTGTGACTAACAGGGTTGATAGAGTTCAAGGTCCTTATCGATACGGGGAGCTCTGACCTCTTGTAAGTTGCATATTTCGTGTGCTGCACCCGCTTGAACTGCCCTTCTTGCTAGCCTTAGGACATCAGAGAACTTCCAGTTCAGTGATACCGGGATCAGTATAACAGATTCCTACGGCGGAGGACAGGTACCTGGCACCATTGGATTTGCAACAGTGAAGGTTGGGGGATATACCTCTTCAAATCAGGGTATGTCCGCTCGTGCCATCTCCTAATTGACGATCAACTGTAGTCTCAGTGTTCAATAACGCAACATCTGTGAGATGCACAGCTATGTCGGCATGTGGGCTGACCAGTAACCAGATCGGCCTTGGGGAGGTCACGAATCTCGGACTCGATGGGTTGATTGGTTTATCCTTTGACATGGATTCCAACTCGCCTCTCAAAGCGACGCTGAAAAGCAACCATGAGAACGACACACTGGGTGAACCATTTCTCTTCAACATTTTCAACCTTACGCCGCAACAAGACAATTTCATCACTATTTCCCTCTCCCGTACCAACGATCTCGAAGGCTCCGCGGACACGTCCTTCGGAATTAACGATCTTGATCTAAGATACCTTGACGTTGTCACTGAGCCGGAAATACCGCTTTTCCCAGGAACGAATGGACGCTTCTCCGTTCTTGTTGACTCGATGTCTGTGGACAATGTTTCAATCGCGCTTCCTACGTCGACGGTCAGCCATACACCACCTGGAAAGAATGTCGCCCTACTGGATACCGGAACCCCGTCCACCAATCTCCCTGCGGCGCTCTTCCACGCCATTTACTCTGCCATACCGGGGTCAACACAGACCAAGTCGACATGGATTATTCCCTGCAACACGACTAGCATACTGACTGTGAACATGGGGTACATGGCGGTCATTTGATTGCTTCTTTCGGTGCTGATATATTATTATTCAGTGGCCAGGCATTCCCTATTCACCCACTTGATTTATCTAACGTGCAAACGGACAAATCCTCCAACGCTACGATCTGCGTTGCTGCCATAGAGGCGGTAGACGGTAACTCTGAATTTGACGCCATCTTCGGTGATCTTATTCTCCGGAATATGTACCAACTGTGAGCGCTCTAGTCATTCAAAAGCGTCTACGGAGCCTAACCTTTGTGGTGTCAGCTATAACTTTGGAGATTCAGTTTCCCGCTCGCCGACCGGCAACGCGTCAGTGCAGCTCCTCTCGCAGACTGATCCAAAGGCCGCCATCGCCGATGTTCTCAATGTGCGGATGGCGCTGATTTCAGGGCAGTCGCCTTCTGCTGTTGGTGCAGCTGTCGTTGCTGCGGCCGCGGGCGGTACGGACTCATCGGATACCGACTCGCAAAGGCATAAATATGCGCTCATCGTTATCGGACTCCTCGGTGCGAACGTTTTGGTGACTGTAATCGTGGCCGTAATTGGGGTGGTGCTTTGCATGAAGAAGCGGGGTGGATCACGGTCGAGAGAGTACGCGCCACTGCAACTCGGGAGGGGTGGACCAGAACCGTTGGATGGGGGGTATGATGATAAGCGGTATTCGGAGTAGCATGCATGTTCTTCCTTTGTTAATTCGTTATTTGGACTTGATTGGGACACTGAATAAATTATTTTGCGCTTGGATTGCGCGGTATAGTAGTGTAAGTACTCTTGGGCTATGGTTCGTACGGACAGTGTACATTACCGTCAAATGTAAATAGCTGCTCATATACCGGGGCGGTGTGACCTCCAGGAACGACCGCGGCATCGAACCCTTCATCGCGCAGTTCCTGTAACCAAGGAAGGTCCAGTAATCCCGCGCTATAGACTCGAAGATAGGTGAGACAGCCTCTGTGGAACCGCGAGCGTGCCATCGCAAGGAAGAGATCGTGGGGGAATTCGCTGTTCAACCCATACACCAGCGTGACAAGCCTGGGGAATAGATCGCGAGAACCACCCTCCGCTGTCATCGCAGTGAGCAGGGCAGTTTGCCCCGGCATGTCGTGGTTCCCGTCCACATTTTGCCCCACCGCATAGTCATGCCCATCGAAGTCGACAAGCAGGTATGTGAGGTGTGGAAGCTCACGAATGGCCACAATCCAGTTGGGGGATAGAGCACAATCGCGTAGAATCAGCTTTTTCAACGAGCAAGAGGAACGTCGAATGAACACGCAGAATGCAAGCACACTAGGCCACGAACTTGACAAGGACAGCAGTTCCTCGAGTACTGGCGCCGTGAAATGGTCAAGGGCTGTCGGGTCGTCAATTTCGAGCCTGCGCAAACGGGGGACAGTGATGGGTGTCGCGTTCTGTGTTGGGTGGGTCGTGAAGCTAACAGCGCATTGGCGAAGTTTCGGCGCCATCGCCAAGAGGATTTGACGCTGCCTATCGACGGGGTATGCGCCTCGATAGTGGGTGATTTGCTGCCACGGTATTGTGGGAGCTGTCAGGATAACGGGCGAGCCCCCGTAGTGAGACAGGAGGACATCGCGTAGTGTCCGACTGTCGAAGGAAAAAAGTACGGGGAATTCGATGGGAAAATCATGGGCCACTTGCAACGTGCGCAATGTGATAAGGCAGCCGGAAGCAGGTTGTAGCCACGCAAGTTTTGCAGTCGGACAGGGGATACGCAGGTGTAGCGCGTTCCAGCGATGACAGTGGGAAACGACCGCAGCCGCGCAGCGATCTTCGATGTCTGTTCCTTTTTGTGCGGTCCAATATACCTTCAGCGGCGCCCCAGCTGACCGGAGAAGCAGGGTTTCGACGCTCAGTGCGGCTGCGTCGTTGTCCAACACACCTGTGGACGAGTTCGGAATACTGATAGAGGTCCAGAGAGGCGGATACGCCAGCGCCGTGCACCGCCAAGTTTGGCATACATGTGCAAGATACCAAGGGGGTTTGGGTAGCGCTTCGTTGCTCGACACCGTCAAGGCAAATACTTCGCAAAGCAATTCTGGCGGCACGCGACGCACGGCGGACAGTGTAGCGCGGTGCTGTCGAATGCTTTGCACCAGCTGTGTGCGTCGATCAACCAGACGGTGAGGTCCGGTTTGTGATTCAGCGATCTGGATAGTCAATCGATGCACTTCTTCCTGGAATCGGGAGACGACAGCCTGGATGAAGGGGATCTCAAAGTCAAGAGGGACGTCATTGGTTCCCAACAAGCGTGTAAAATCTGTCCCCGGCCCTGGTATGGACTCTGGAGGGTCTAAAGCCGTAGGCTGGACGTTAGTTGAGAAGTTACCAAGGACGGCACTGAATAAAAAAAACATACACTCCATCGGTGAGGACTGAATGGCGACGATGACTGGCAGTGGAGGGGATCCCGGAAGTCGATGGTGATGGTTTGGGACAAGGATCAACTGTCACGTGGTGTTGACGCGCTCATTCAAGCACGTGCAAAGAAACCCGTAATGCCAAATAATAAAGTTCGATTCACACAATGCTCTGATACAAGTATGGTGAGGTACAAGATCGCAAAGTAAACAATCTGGCACATTGGATAATGATATC